TTCTGGGAGTTGAAGTCCACTCATCTTAAAGTGGCCAAGTTTGGACAACACTGTCTTAGTAATAGGACCTTTTCCCACTGAGAGTTAAAATATTATTCTTCCAACCTTTAGTCAACAAAAAAAACAGCATTGTCGTGAAATTTTCTATCTCCATTGTTATTCCCAATCCTGTTTTTACTGCTTGTTTCAACTCACCACAGGTGTCCTGATTTCCCTTCAAAGAAGTGACAATGCCTAACAGATTTTATAGACCTAAGGGGAAAGAAAAGCACTTATTTAACACTGGTACAACTAAGAATGATTAAAGCCCATGAGATGAAGGCAGTATCGGGGACACAGGAAAAAAAAATGTTGTCAGGACTAGTTTGTGCTGTGATCGTTGCAGTTGGATAAAGACCCGTAGTCTCATTAGGTCCCTACAGTTGCTCTTGCTATTATTAGCAGGAGACCAACAGCAATGCAGTGGTAAATCTTGATGCATCTTGCTCTATCTGCAAGTTTGTAGGCAATACCCATGGAAATCTAAAATAATTTTTGGAATTAGGAAGAGGAAATGTATCCAAACAAAGTGAAACATGTAAAGCAGGTATTTTGATTGTTCTTTCCTTTTTGTATAATCAAAAATTAAAGACAACCTCTCTTCCAAGCAGGCTTATGGACCACAAGGTATACATAGCTGTATTTCCAAGGCAAATCTTTTTATATTGCTGCATTATAAAAATACACAGTAACTTTTTTATTTTTGAAGAGAAGTCTTGATTTACATGAGCTTCTCAGAGCCTGAAAAAGTAGGTAATGGTTTACAAAACATTAAAAGATGGGATATCTGCAATTCATCCATTATCAGGAAAATGGTTAGACATCTATTCCAACCATCAAAGATTATTAGCAAGAGAATTAAGTAGTCCAAACTTCAAGAAAAATTGCAAGTATTAAAGTGAAAGGATCCAGTTGTTGAGGTTTCTGTAACCCAATCCCCTTTCCCTTTCAGTTAAGTATGAATAAAGAAAACTTTATGAGAATCTTATTTTCTGCTGTCAAGAGGTTGACACTTGTGGCAATATAAAACATTTTCATTATTGTTGAATCAGAACAGTGATGGATAACACTATACATCACTATTGAAGAAATAGTACAAGCTAAGTTTTTAAAAGTAATTATAATAACCTTTTAGCTCTTATCATAGTAATGAAAGTCAAGGAGCAGTGAAAAATGGCACTACAATTAAAAATAAAGAGGACTAAATTAATCACAACAGGAACAGCAACTAGCCTTAGAACTGACAATGAAGACACTGAAGTGGCGGAGAGCTTCTGCCTTTTAGGATCAACAGTCAAGAAATACTCTGCAGACTAGCACTTGGTAGAGCAGACATGAAGGCCTTGGAAAAGTTATTCATATGCTGCGACAGTGTCTTTATCTACAAAGATTAGAATCATTTAGGCTTTCCCTCTGACATACTATGAAAGTGAAACTTGGACTTTGAAGAAGCAGGATAGAAAGCGTATTGATGCTTCTGAACTTTAGTGTTGGAGAAGATTCCTAAGAATATCATGGATATCTAAAATATCAAACAAATGGATCAACAAACAAATCATTCTAGAATTCTCACTTAAGGTACAAATGACCAGGCTCAAACAATCTTATTTTGGATACATTATGCAAAGGTCCAGTTCCCTTGAGAAGTCCATAATGCTGGGAAAGGTGGAAGGAAAGAGAAGATGATAAAGACCAGCAGCAAGGTGACATACTTGATGACAATAAATGTACCATTAGAAAAACTGAAAGGCAGATTGGGGAAATACCTTCCTGAAGGTCTATCTACCGTATGTAGCCACTGAGAGTTGACACTGATTTGATGGCACATAATCAGTCAGTCAGCTCAGAGGTGGAGCCAGGTTGGTTTATTGAAAAAAAATCAACAAGATGATTTTGTTGGTGGCATTTTAAAGAAAAACAATTATAAGTGCATAAGCTTTTATGGATCTAAGACAACTTAATTAGATGCTGAGTACTTGCATTCCTCCTTAGCTATTGTGAGGATTGCAGCTATGAGCTCAGCCTTCATCAGGAATCTTGGATTTTTTTCCCCTTGCACTGTTCATAATTATTTGCTATAAATTGGGGCCATGAAAACAAGCAGCAAAGATTTTTCAGACTATACTTAATTCTGGCTTTGATTTATACCTTAATTAGCAAAAGGTTTACTTCCTCTTCTGTTTCAAATTTGGAAACTTTCCTGTTTTTTTCATTGCACTATAGAAAAATACAGAAGTTTCTGGCTCTCTTCATTCCACTATAGAAAAATACAGAAGCTGTACTATAAAATCTTTAAATGCCTAACAGGATATGAACAACTATTCATCTACAGTAATTACACATGAAAGCCTTTGGTGCCCAGAGAATTTCTTGGTCTTTTAAATGGTCTAAAAAGCAGTGAATAAATAAATAGGCCCCTTTCACAATATTTGTAAGTTAGACATGCATCTTCCCTAACACTACCTTATGCCCATTGAGAACAAGGCAGCTGATATTCTGAATATCAAATTCAAATGTTTCCAATTAATAATATTCTAAACTAATGGAGTTGGTGGGAACTCCCTATTCATTTTCCATAGGGCAGACTATTAGTTGTTAATACTTCCAGTCACCCTGGTGAGAGTGGGTGTGAAACAAGGGGGTGGTACATGTGTATGTTAGGAGTAGCTGGCTGACTGGAACTACAGATTGCTGAGTGTTGGGGCTGAAGTAACCCAGAGAGTCAAATCAGCCAGCTGGTTGGATAATTATGTCCTGAGTGTTTGACCCTTCTGACCTGGGGGAGGGATGGCAAAGATTGGTGTGAGCTAGTCTGGCGGTAGGGGAAGGGGCAAGCAATAACCTTACAGTGATGATGGGCACAGGGTGATCCAGGAAAGTGGTCTCAGTGCCTTATACTGATTCCGCACTGAAGCCCCAGTGTCTGGTCATTGGACCCTCAGTGGCCCTGAACATTAGATCGGCCTGTAATAAGTCCTCTCTCGTACAGGACCTAATAATGGATGACAGGGCCAACCTGGCATATAATACCAAGCCTGGACACGAGTGGAGGGAGGGGTTATCTTTTCAAAAATATCCCCATCTAGGTTTTGACCTCCAACCCCAAGGCACCAAATCGAGGAGATTCTGGTGGCTTTCAGATGGAGCTATGCAGATAACTGGATGCGAGACCGTGTTTGGGAAGTTGGGTTGTTCATATGGGATCGCTGCTACTGGATCAGCTTCTTGCTCCATAGTGTCTCCTAGTAGACATTGGAGTTCCCCAGCCTTATGGTATTGGAGGACTTCCCTGGATGCAGAGTCAGAGGTGGCTGAGGCCTCAATCAAGTATGTTGGGCTCTCAGTAATCTGGATCAGTTCCTAGCCACCATGGACATGATCCAGATTACTGAGAGCCCAACATACAGTGGAGGTCACACATTAGATCTGGGTTTTGTCTTGGGTAGCAGTGATGTGATCTGGATGTAGGGGATGTTAATATCAGTCCTTTGTCATGGTCAGATCACACTTCAATTGCCTTGAAAAGTTCTCCACATCTACTCTCTGTAGGAAGGAAATTGGACCTGTTTGGTCGGTCTGCCCCAGGTGCCTGATTGATTCCACTGGGTTTCACAGGGAGCTTGGGATTGTTCCTGAGACTCTGGTGTACACTTTGATTGAGGCCTGAGTCTCCACTTGGACTGAGAAGGCGACAACTGCCCTGTATTGGATTCTGCTTGCGAGGCCTCTCCCTGTCCATGGATCTCATGTTTTTCAGAGGACCTCCAGAAGATGGAACATCTGGAACGCCAATGGAGGAAGATGAGCAAATCCTTTGATTGAGGCCTGAGTCTCCACTTGGACTGAGAAGGCGACAACTGCCCTGTATTGGATTCTGCTTGCGAGGCCTCTCCCTGTCCATGGATCTCATGTTTTTCAGAGGACCTCCAGAAGATGGAACATCTGGAACGCCAATGGAGGAAGATGAGCAAATCCATCTGAACTTATCTAGTCAACAGGTAGCCAGCCTGCAGCCCCACTGGAGGTGACCCAATTTCTCATGGGGGGCAGAGGAATTCACACAGGTTGATTGTGAAGCCTATTGAAGACATCCAACAGACGAAGCTAGTCAAATGTGTTCTGAGCTGATCTCTGGTTGCGCAGATCCTGCAGAGTTGACTAATCAGCTATTATTTCAGTAATCCATGACAAAATAAACCAAAGGTCAGCAAGCTGTGTTAATACAGCGACAATTTTGATGTCTGAATTGACTTTCTGGAGTTTTCTTCAGCTGACGAATACCCCTTATTTCTTCATTTCAGAAGGGATTATTTATTTATATTTATTTAATTTCTATAGCCGCCCATCTCAACCAAGTGACTCTGGGTGGCAAACAATTCTAAAACAATTAAAAACAATACAAAAATAAATATATATGGCAGCCAAGAAATTATAATAATGTTATTTTTAATGCTTTGATTATAAATCCCCCTGCCGTTACTGCTAGATGTATTGAGCGTTGGGGAGGAGGGAATATTCACTGGATATTTTTAAAAAATCTCAGCGGCCTCAGACAATTAAAATTACGAAAAGGCTTCAAGGAGCCCCTCCAAAAAAGCGGGAAAAATGAAATGGCGGAAAACTCGGCCTGACACGTCACCGAGCCGAAGGCACCAGCAACGGGGCGGAGCTTATCTCAATTGTGACGACAGCGGGGGTGGACCAGGAGCAGCACGCGCGCCCGCTGCAGACGATAACGCCCCGTCCAAATCTCGTGAGACAAAAAAAATCCCGGGCGCGGTTTCACAATAACCGCTGCTATAGCAACCGCGAAAAACACACACGCGCATAACACCCATTTTCCTCTCCGTCCTGCCTCAGTGCCTGAGTTTTAAAGAGGGGGACGCAGTAGTCCCCGCCTTTAGAGGTGGGACTTCCGGGCCGGTTTAAGCTTCCCCTCGGACATGACGACAGAGTGTCAACATGTAAGATGGCGGCTCATCACCGACAGAATACGGCGGGGCGGCGGAAAGTACAGGTGACGGAGGCGAAAGAGGCCCTTGGTCGGGAAGGGGAGCTGAAGGGAGGGCCGGGGAGGCGCGTGAGGATCGTCGTGGCCCAACTACGCTGGGCGAGGCGACGAATGAGCGAGCGGCGTGGTGGCTTGGCGGGAAGAGCAGGAGGAGAAGGGCGGGGTGGCCCCGATTGCAGCCAGCCTTCTTCACCTCATCTCCCTCATGTGGGGGCTTCGCCTTGCGTCATCTCTCGGCCCTGTGGCCGGGGATTATGGGATTTGCCCCACTCTAGATCTGGCGCGTGTCACTTTGGGGAAGATTGAAGGCTGCTGGGCATTTTGCGCTGCTTGGAGGAGTAACGTTTTCTACCGTGTCGTGTTGCCGGGCGATGAGAGATGGAGTGTGGCTTTTCTTCCTTGACAAATCACTCTCCCCCGCCCCAAACGGTAAAAAATAAATAAATAAAGCAACTCCGAAGCTCTTTTAGACCCGAATTGGCTGGGCCATTTCACTGCCCAGAGTCCATTGGAGTTGGGTGGCTAATAAATTCAAATAAATAAATAGTAATTTCACAGGTCTAATATTATATGAGAGGTGGGGTGGGCCAGGGAGAAAGTTCCAGGTAAGGACTGGGGAGGCCTTGGTTGAAATCTCCATTCCGTGGTGAAACTCAGTGAGGGACTTCATGCTCTTCCACTTTTTAGCTTAGCCTGCCTTACAGAAGGTAAAAAGTGGAATTTTGATAAGGTCTCCACCTGCAGTCTTGGGTCTTGTTTCAGTATATTACTTCGTGTTTTAGTGAGTTGAGAACTTTCCTCTGCTGAAAGATAGCCGAAGTGTAATCCCATTGAAAGCAGCAGGATATGATTAACTTGGAATAGGCTTCTCTCTCTGTTCAGTCTCATTTTGTTCAGGCCGTTGGTGACAAAAGTTCAGGAACTCTACCTCTCCACTCCTGAACGCACTATTCTAAGCCACTCCCAATACTTTTAAGTTATGTCCTAGAGCTTTACAGCATCTGTTGTCAGCTTTTCCAATTCCCCATTTTTTTCCTATTCTCTCAAAATCCACTCCAGTTGCTTTTCTCCCTGTGAAGAATAAAAAGTATAGTTTGCCTTCTGCTGCAGGGTAATGTGTTTCTCATGCCAGTTTTGAGTATAATTGTTTCTTGAAAAGTGGAGTACATTTGGGTAAGTATTGTTTACCTGGATCCTCTGACAGCTGCAGGTTAGAAACCAGCAGATCAAGAGAAATAATAGCAGTCTACACTGAATTAGAACTCCCACAGGCGTGCATATAATTGCAATTCTCAAATTTTTGGAGCTTTAAGCTTTTCTTTCATTCCAGCTTTCCATGTTGGGAGACCTTTTATATTTTATTTATGTCACTCTGCCTAGAGGACCAGAGGAATGAATACTAATAAAAATATTGCCAGAAGTAGTGGAATTAACAGTGGAATTACTCAGTTGGATAGGGCAAATTAGGCATTCAAGTCCAACCCCATGATCAGTTAAAATCTATAGCAGGATATGTAAGTTTTAAATTAAAGTGTTCCTGATGAAGAATCAGAGAGTGAGGAGGTGTCAGCGTGCTTGAGGAAATGCCTAAGTGTGCAGAAGTACAGCAAACATATTTTTTAAAAAATTGAACTAGTCTTCTTCCCAAACACTCTAGTGAGGGCAGGCTAATAAGTCTAGAATATGACTGTTTGTTGAAGAAAAAAAAATGGTCTGAGTGGAATTCAAAATGAACGAAAGTGCTTCTATTTTGTGGTAAAAATGTATTACAGGAATAGTAAAGTAGGTGTAGAAATAGTACAAACTGCACTGTTGTATTATGCCCTATTCGGGAGTGCCCTCAGAGTTTCTGGATACTTGAACTAGTTCACTGGACAGAATGTGTTACTCCAGGTCTTTTGCATATCCATTAGCTTTCTGTCACTGCAAGGACTCTTTTTAATATGCTAGTTCTTTTAAATTGCTCAAAGGCATAAAATCTGTGTTTCTGAAGCATGACTCTTTTTTGCTCCACTATCAAATGGAAGCTTGGCTCTTCAGTGATTCTTTTATAGCAGACTGTTGGGTGGCAGGGCTAAGCAGGGGATGCCCTGCTTAGTATTTGGGTGGAGGTGGGCATTTGGGAAGGCAGGACTATAGGCTAAAATGTGAAGTGGAGAGAATCCTGGAAGAAGGCAACGTTTCTTTGGTATTATGCTAAGAAACCTACTGTACAAGCAAAGATCCATGTAAGCTACAGGAATATGACTGACATTGCCACTTGTTAACTTTGCTTACTTTGATAGGACTATGTAAGGTAAATAAGAATACGTAAGTGTTTGCAGTTCTCCTTTCCAGGACTTGCAAGGAGGATTCCCAGTGGCTTCTGCTAGATATTGCAGAGGGGAGGGGGGAGAAAAGGCAAGAAGAGCTTCTTTCCATCTCCAAATTGTATCCCGTGTGAGAATTAATTTAAGGTAGCAATTGGTTGTCCTATGCCTTAAAGTTTGCAGTAGAGAATGAACTTCTCCAGACTTCTGTGTGTCTGAGAGAAGATTCTGTCTTTCTTTGGGACTGCCTCTGGATGAGAGGAGTTTTTCCCACACATGGAGGCTGATTAAGGAATTACAGGAATCCTTTCCTCCAGCGCTCTTTGCACCTACTGTAGTTAGTAAGTAAAATTTATTTACAGTTATTGACCAGCATTTCATACAGTACAAAGTACCTTAAAATGTGTATAATACATGGGTAATGGTATTTTAGCATGAACGTGATCTATCACATCCTAGTTCAACCCGGAGTTTCCTGACAACCATTAGAATGAACACAATTTTGCAACATTTTTGGAAATTTTGGAGGATTGTGTAATGGAATGGACTTATGAAGGCCATGCTCAGGGAAATT